GGAGGAGGCTGCAATGCTTGGTAAGAAATGTATGCATTATCCTGCCCATGTAATTGTAACCCCTCTGTACAGTATGTTCACAAATAAAAAAAAATAAATAAATAAAATAAAAAAAAACCAAAGAGCCTAGGCTGGGAATGTCACTTAAGTGGTAGAGTGATTACCTAATGTGCACGAAGCCCTGGTTCAGTACCATATAAACATAAAAAGCCAGCCAGGCGCCAGTGGATCACGCCTGTAATCCTAGCTACTCAGGAGGCTGAGATCTGAGGATCACCCCGGCCTGGGCAGAAAACTCCATGAGACTCTACCTCCAATAAACCACCAGAAAACTGGAAGTGGCACTGTGGCTCAAGTGGTAGAGTGCTAGCCTTGAGCACAGAGAGGCTCAGGGATGGTGCCCAGGCTCTGAATTCAAGTCCCAGGACTAGCAAAAAATAGTAAGAGCCAAGGGGCATGGATTATGGGAGGCTTCATCAGGAACAAAACAAACCTAGAGTTTTGGGGGTTTAGGATAAGATCTAGAGTCACAAGTCATAAAACAGAGTTCAAGAGTAATATGTCTTTTTTTTTTTTTTTTTTGGGTCCGGTAGTGGGGCCTGAACTCTGGGCCTGGGCGCTGTCCCTCAGTTCTTCAGCTCAAGGCTAGCGCTCTACCACTTGAGCCACAGCGCCACTTCCCACTTTTTTCTTATGTGGTGCTGAGGAATTGAACCCAGGGCCTCATGCATGCAAGGCAAGCGCTCTACCACGGAGCCACCTTCCCAGCCCTTTTAAATGTGATTTTTTTTTTTTTTTGGGTCCGGTAGTGGGGCCTGAACTCTGGGCCTGGGCACTGTCCCTCAACTCTTCAGCTCAAGGCTAGTGCTCTACCACTTGAGCCACAGCGCCACTTCTGGATTTTTTTCTTTTTGCTTATGTGGTGTTGGGGAATCGAACCCAGGGCCTCATGCATGTAAGGTAAGCACTCTACCACTGAGCCACCTTCCCAGCCCCCGGTAATATGTCTTGTACAGTCAGTATCATGCCACACTCAGCTGGATCTCCAATCAAACTTTCAATAAGAATTTATTAACCATGGGCTGGGAACATGGCTTAGTGGTAGAGTGATTTCCTAGCATTCATTAAGCCCTGGGCTCAATTCCTCAGTATCACATAAATAGAAAAAGCCATAAGTGGCATTGTGGCTCAAGTGTTGGAGTGCTAGCCTGGAACTCAGGGACAGTGTCCAGGCCCTGAGTTCAAGCCCCAGGACTGGTCCAAAAAAAAGAAAAAAATAATTTATTTACCACTCTGGCCATCAGCAATGTGCTCAAAAGGAAAGAAATGCTTCCTGGAAGTGATCATCTACTTCTGGCCTAGCTGAATGACCATGGGAACAACTACTTCGAATCTAAGTGAGAGGAGGAAGGGAGGTGTGACTTGGTAACCCAGATCCAGACTGCAGATTTCACCAGACTCTTAAGACATAGGGGTCCTAGTGACATTTCCCATTACCGACTCCTAGTGCCTCCTTCCCACCCAATAGGCACTTTCGAGAATCACACTAGGCACTGCCCAAGGTTAGGAAGGCCTGCAGAGCCCAAACCTTTACCCTTGTACTTACAAGTCCTTATTGCTAATTAAGAAATGATCTTACAACAGACAACACTTAGTTACTCATTACACATTTATTGTACATTTTCACAATCTGGATGCGCCACAGAATTGGGGGTATGGGTGGGGAAAGAGGGAAGGCAGGGGACACTGGGATAATATGGGGGGTCTAGAACACAGCACCCCCACCCCCAGCATCTCTCCTACCCTTTCACACAACAGTTTAAATCTCCCTGCTCCCCCTCCACACAGTGTGGGGGGATAAAGAGTTTGGGGGCCCCGTCCAGTGGTAGGTTAAGGGACTTCACCCTCAAACCCCTAAAACTGTGCCATTTAGTAAAAAGTCATTAGACCCTTCTTCCTCTTATAACTTCACCTAATGAAAGGACAGCTCTCTCGCTCTCTCACGCTCTCTCTCACTCTCTTTCTCTCTCTCTCTCTGGGCTCAACAGCCCTGGAGAGGGGTGAGGAGCCCCATCATCCAGCAAGACCATCCACACATTGGCAGTGACTAGTATCCCCACCCTGAATACAGGGTGGCAGTCAGAGGAGCTGGGCAGTGATGGGAGCAACATCCCCCAAATTGAGGAGGCAGGATTTCAGTCCAACCTCTAACACGGGTGAAGCTAGAGGTTTCAGGCAGGAACTGGGGGGATTCTCTGCCTTTTCCCACTCCTCCCGCAAGGCAGTGATGACCCCCTCCCCCATACACTGGTAGCCACCCCTCCCAAAAGAGATCAGATTGTAGCCAACCCCCAACTCTCCTGGTGGGAGGAGGAGGTGGATCAGGCAGATGGGAGGGAGGAAAACCCCATGGGAATGTCAGTTAAGTGCCCCCACATGAAAACTGGGGAGCAGGAATGTAGGGAGAGACCCCAAGTGGCAGAATTATTGGTCCATCATAACACACTGAACTCCAAGACACTTACACACCAGCTGGGGGAGGGAGCAAAGGATACAAGAGGTCTGGAAAATGGAGGTAGGAGAGGTAAACTGGACTAGAGGGGCTAGGAAGGGACAATTCTGGGGGCCAGAGCAGCCTGGTTCCCCCAAATCCCAGGTTCCCCACCACCTGCAAGTAATGTCGTGCAAATGAAAGTGTGATACAAGGACCAATGGGACTAATTCCTCAGTAAAAAAAAAAAAAAAACAGGTAGAGAGAAGATGAAACAAACAAACAAAAAAAGGAAACTAAAAAGGATGTTGGTATGCAAATGATACATTAATTAACATGCTGGAAGCTCCCAAAAGACTTTGGGATTCTTAGGACCAAGTGGGGCCAGTCTCAGAGCCTCCCAACTGATGCAAAGACGCACCAAAGGAGGCCTGGACAGGTGTGTTTTACCTATTTTTGGTGGGGATTGAATAGGGGGAGGTGAGCTGGGGAGGGTCAATTTAAATCCGAGGGAAGGAGAAGAGAGGGACTATTGCATAGCAGATGCAAATGAAGGAATCTGGGACAGATCAGGAAGAGAGGGAAAAGGAAGGTAGGAGAGAGGTGATGGAAACCTCAGGAAGTGGTGTTAAGGACAACCGGAAAAATCTTCTAGTAATAAAACTACAAACAGACCAAATATATATAATATTATATATGTATAAATAACAGCTGGCTATTTACAGGGGAACACACACACGGACACACACACACGGATCCAGGGGATGGGGGCTGAAAGATATGGCTGAGAGGTGGAGGAACGGCGGGGGGTAGGGGAGAGGCCCTTCTCTAGGCAGGGCAGACTCCTCGGGAATTTAAGTGCTGAAGTAAACTGTGGAGAGAGGGTAAGAGAAGGAGGATGAGGAAGAGGGGGGAGAGAGAGAGAGAGAGAGAGAAAGAAAGCAGTGTGTCAGACTGGCCCTGTTCCAACCCTCCCCATTTCCCAGCTGGCTGATGTCCTTTTCCCTCTCTTGGCCTCAGTTCATTCATCTGTAAAGCAAAGAGGCTGGGGGAGGTGGGTCCCAGGGTCTCTTCAAATCTATGAGGTAGCCTTGGGCCAAAGTCCCCTAATTCTTTTGGGCTTGTGAAGTGGCAGGTTTTCAGTGGGGATAATTGACTTCCTGGTCATGTTCCCAGCCCCTGGGCCCTTCTTGTCTCTTACTTCCCAATTCCAGGGTTCCTAGAATGGGCTCTTAGGTCCATAGCGTTCTCAATGGAGTACTGAGGACCAACTCAGTTTCCCTGTTTCCAAGCTCAACAAATTGCCCAGAACCAGGCAAAATGAAGTGACACAACATCAAGGTTTTCAGCTCTAGTTGAATCAGAACTGCCATTAGCATCAACATGTGTCTTTTGTTGAAGAGTACAAACTAGGTTAATGACCTTCAAAACCCTGAATCCACAAGGGAAAACTCTCCAGGGAGAGGGCCCTGGCCACTCCTGCCCCACTCACCGATGATGATGATAAGGATGATGGCGCAAATCACTCCCAAGATTATCATCATCTGGGGAGAAGAAGGAGCATCAGTATGATAAACTATGACACCATTTACCCACCAGTCCTCCTATCCCACTTCCCTTCCCCTAACCTTGAGGTTTTTCCACCAATATTTGCGCTTGAGCTTGGCTGCACTTGTTTCAAACTGGGAAGCCCCTGCCTGGAGTGCATCGGCACGGTCATCGAGCTCCGACAGCTTCTGGTCCCGCTCCAGGACCTTGTCCACGTTCACCCTCATAATGTCCACCACCTGAGGGAGAGGCCAAAGAGGCAGGGGTGTGCCAAGGCCCACCTCACCTCAAACAGGTGCCGTACACAGAACACATGCCTGGTGCTGCCAGACTCACATGCCAAGGACACACATAAAACATACCTAGCACACCTGGGGACATGCAAGGAGCACACATCGTAAACATGCGGGTAGTCTTGACATCTCAGATGTCATAGCAACACGCTTTGTGGGTCCGCATGTGCCGCCTCAATCACCTGAGCACGCCTTCCTGGAGCTGGCACACCCAAGGATAGCACGACTAGTCCTCCCCCACCCCCCAACCCCCCACCCCCAGCATCCAAGTGCAGACAGACAGGGAAATAGACAGGGACATGGCACGTCTCTTGACCCAAAATCCAAAGGTATGAACTGTCAACATCACCAACCCAACCCAACCCAACCGGGCCCCCACCCCGTTGGCCAACCCGGGTATCACACCCTCACTCACCTCATCCACCTGGGCCTGGGTCTGCTGCAGTCTCCTGTTACTGGTGAGGTTTGGAGGGGGTGCAGGGGGACCACCCTCCCCGGCCGGGGCGGCAGGGGGGACGGTGGCAGCGGTAGCCGACCTGAGGAGCAGGAACAGATTAAGACCCAGGGCTGGAGCCACCAGCCCTGCGGCCAGGGCTCCGCCCATCCACCTGTCCATCCATCGTCCCTCCGGTCTTTCTTTTCGGGAAGGGCATCGCTGGGCGCCCGGGTCTCTCTTCGGCCCTCGCAGAGGATGGGGCTGCGTGACCTTGAGCGAGGCCCTCCCTCCCGCTCCTCAGGCCTCAGTTTCCCCTGCCTGTCCAACGACAGCGACCGCACAAATGCGGTCGGGGGGGGGGGTCAACTCGGAATGCCTTGGGGGCCATGATGGCCGGGGCGGGGCGGGGAGAGGTGGACGCGGGGGTCCGCGCCCTCCCGCGGCCATCGCCCGCGCAGGCCGGCCTGTGGAACCCGGGGTTCCCGGTCGCCCGCGCGCAGTCACCGGCGCCAGCCAGCCTGGCCCCGAGCGCGGGGCGGGTGGCGCGGGCGGGGACCCCGGCATTCCCAGGCCGGTTCTCCGGGACAAGCGGCCGGTGCGGGGCAGCGCGGTGCGGGCGGCTGACGGCCAACTCACATGGCGGGGGAAACGGGCGGAGGATTTGGCAGCGGCAGTGATGGCGGCGGCGGCTCGCTCTGGCTCCGACTGGCGCTGGCTGCCCGGGACGGGAAGATGGCGGCCGCACG